CACAGGTTCAATCCCTGTAGTAGGCATCAAGCTTTTTTTCTTTTCCGTCCTATGAATTGATACATCAATTGTTCTATTATGCAATATCAAAATTGAGTACAACTCAAATAAAAAGGAACACTTTCTTTTTTTTTATTATAAAAAATTTGCTTTATTTGAACAACAGTATAAAAATCGAATATATATACTTATATTAAATTTTTGAAGAATAAAAATTACATATCATACATTGAATGCATTATACCAGAAAGAACAGAATCAGCAAGAATTTCTAAAATGAAAATAAGAGATTTCGTACTGTTAATTTATTGTTTTAAATCATAACTTTACCTCGATTATCATTATTCCATGGACAATAATCTCCTATAGAAATACATGGTGCATGTTCAAGTACATATTTCATTTCATCCTCATCCTGATCATTATTCATAAATTGTTCTTCTAATTGTTGCTGGTGATCTTTTCGACTCAAATGATTTTCATTATCATAAGGTGGAATTTGTATAAAACGTGCTAATTCATCAGGCATTATTGATTGTTGTTGACATCGTCGTAATAATTCATTTAAATAGATTTCAAGTAGCTGTCGTCGTTGTTCAATTAATTTTGCACTACGTCGATGTAATAAAACTTTACGTGGTAAATGTGGAACTGATATATTTGTAGATAGACGTGTATTTAATGCTTCGAATTCACGATAACGACGATCAATTGTATGAGATGTATGATTTAAACCACCACGAACAGTTATTTGATAAACCTATATAACAAAGAATAAGATATTTCAATAAAAAGAAAATTTCTTACAGTAAATTTTTCATCACTATTTGGCGATTCAATTGTTCGAGTATCATCAATTGATACGGTTAATGGCATAGATATCATCGTGAATTTTTAATCGAAAAGAAGAATATAACTCAAGATAATAATAAAAAAAAAGAGTTGAAGAACTAACGAATGGTAAAATACGACTACCATATTAGCAGATGTCACTCGTACAAAGAAGAATGTTGCGGTGAAAATTGAGTTAGTTGTAATAATCAACTTAAGAATCAATTTTGTACATGAGAATTCGCAATCATATTTATCTATTAGAATATAGGTTTATTATATTTCTTTTGCCATTCTTCATTTTTTAGTTCTGGTAAATCATTTGTTATACACAGTAATCCAGATCAAATTACCAAAATAAATAGACATTTCAACAACATATTCTTATAATATTTTCAAGTGAATTTATTTCATTTGAAATATATATTGAAATACAATTGATGTTGAATTTACAACAGTCCTATTAAATTGTCTTCGTTACAAATAAGAATCTCTTTTTGACCTCAAGAGTTCCTAATTTCATATATCATGACATCTTAACTTAGAATCAATATTTTTACTTCTTATACTAGCATACGAATCAATAGAATCATATTACCTACGACTAAAATTTGTTGATCAGAAGAATAACAAAAAAATCTTTATTCGTTATTCAAATCTGAAAACTACGCGAGCATTCGTCAATCAATATATCTTCATTCATCTCGCTTTATCATATAGACATAAAGTCAAACAAATAAAAAATTTCTATGACTTCTTCATTGAATTTTTTTAGTAGTACATTACTTCCTACAGCGCTTTAAGACATAGATTTTTCTTTCTTCAATTTTATAAGTATAGTTTTAAACAGAGTTATGTGCAATAAAATTATACTTGAATTCGCTCAATTGAAATTCTGTTAACTTTTATTGAATTCGAAATAGAATGAAGATTTGTTCATATTGAAACCATTATTTCCTTTCCATTTAATTTGCTTATATTTCTTTTTATTCTTTAAAAAAATTGATTCGAATTTTTCTCAATGGACTTATTTATTTTAATAAATCATGAAAAATTGAGATTATTGATACATTTTTTTTGACAAAAAAATAAAATAAAATTTTTTTCTCATCGATAGAGACTTATTGATATATATATATGTATTATTCAATAATAAAATAGTTTTAATCATGTCCAAAGCAAATGCCAAAACAAGCAAATAAGAAAAGCATAACATAAATTCCACAAGTAATCAACATACCAACGGCACAACCTAACTGTGCTTTAATTAATCCTAATTTATCATAGGGTACACTAGGACATACAAGTGACGCACTATTATTATGTGTAATAGCTAATGCACACTCATCAAGTATTGCTGAATAATTTGATTGTAACGATGGTATACCACGAAGTGCACAACATATTTGATCACCCAAATAACATTTGCAAAGATCATTTATAAAAACTTGATCAAAATAAATAATCACACAGGCCAATGCACCACTTAATACTAAAGAAAAAATAAATTTCAATAAAAGAGATAGTTATCATTTACTATTCAGAATAAGTACGTAAGAGGCACAACAACGTCCACGACAGCAACAAGCTTTTAAAATACAAAAAGAGAATATAGATTAATAAAAATTCAATATAAAGTTTAAAAAATATTTACTAATGAAAAGCATCGTAATACATGTGATTATAAAAACTAAACCACACCAAAGTCCAGCCCATATTGTACCATGAGCAAGATCAATATAAGCAGAACGTAATTCTAAACCAATAATAGCAGCCGTTATTGCAAGTTGAACAACTCCTAAAATGCCTGTAATCCATCGTGGAAATCTTTCTGCAAAACCCATGATATTTATTATTCGTTGTTGATTATACTAAAAACTGCCGAATAAACAAATATATACATGAAATACTGATGAAGAAAAAAACAAATATGAAGTGAAAGGTGTTCTAATACCGTTTCGTTGAAAGAAAAGAAAAACGTCATATCATAATATGAGAAAGAATACGTTTATGGCATTGAATAAACCATATTTACAGGAAAGAGGAAAGAGAACCAAAATGAAAATTATACAAAATCATTACTTCTATTAAAAAAAAATTTCTCTTTCTTAGTATTGATTTTGCCTTCGCCATCCCAATATTCATATATATATATATATGAATCATTGACAAAATATATCTGCTTCATAATTCTCAAACGTATTATACTTTTACTTCTACATAACCGATGAAACTGTCAATATTGAAGGTCAAAAAGAATTGCTACTGTTAATATTTGACAATCTTCTCTCAACATTTATTTCTCTTTCAAAAAAAAAATTTTTACTTAAGATTAACAAAAAAAAGAAGAATCATAAAAGTTATTTTTTTTAATTTTATGATGATTCTGTTGGAGGACTCGTATGACCATTAAGCTTATAAACACCATCGATTTTTGTTAGTTGACATATTTCACAATTTCCAAAATCTTTGATTGTATCAAACTCTTCGACAGTCCAACGAAAATATCGCATTAGAAATAAACGCATAAATAAACCATGTGAAACTATGACTATATTCTGTGTTGGATCATGATGTCCATTATCCATTTCACGAAATAAAGTATCGAGAAATAATGAAACACGATCATAAACATCAGCACCACTTTCACCACTTGAGAAACGATAGAAAAAATGTCCCAAATGTGCTTGTTGTTCAAATTCATGTGCACGCTCTGGTAAAATAGCAATATTACCAAATTCTTGTTCACGAATTCGTGGATCTTCTCTTTCAGTAATAACTTGTAATGGTGTAAATGCTTTTTTAATATTTGTCCATGTTTGTTTTGAACGTCGATATGGACTCATATAAGCATAGACAGATTCTTTTCCAATAATAGATCGAATTTTTTCACCAGCTTCGACAGCTTGTTGATGACCTCGTTCTGTTAATTCAATTCGACTATCAGCCATTCGTGCATATAGTGCTATGCAAGAAAAACAAAATATTAATGCATAAAAAGTAAATTTATTCATAAAAAAAAAGAACAGTTACTTGTATCAACATTTGCTTCAGATTCTCCATGTCGAACAAGAAAAATACGTGATGGACGTTGATTCCAACGAGTCTGCTTATGTCGTTCATAAGCTCGACGGATTAAAAAATTGAAACCAGCATCAATGCATCCAGTAAAGAAGAGAATAAGAGAAACAATACCAACAAGAAATAAACTAATTACTATTAAACTCATATTGTCGATAAATAGTCACGCATCAAATATTCCGTCCTATCGAACAAAGTTGTATATAATGAAATCGTACGTATCTTTTTTGAAATATATATGATAAGTAACGTTGAATATCTGTTTTTATATACAAAACGAGAATGCAATGAAATTGGTATAGATGCATTTATATATATACGACGTCAATAACATGTTTCGACAACGCCCTTTGATCATTCATAATGTACGTCACAGTCATAAGTACAAAGCAATGTTTTTAAAAATGTAAATTTAAATCTGCTTATTTTTATTATCAGATTAAGATCAAAACTGTATGTTCTTTTATATGAAATCGTCTATTGTATATCAAAGCATATAAAATGTTTAGCGTTATTCATAGTATATATATTTTAGTACCTAAAAACAAATTCTCATACGTCATTTGTGGTTTGCGTACATCGTAATATGTTATGTTTTTCTAAGCATTTGTTATATTTCATGAATTGAATAAATGAGGAAACAAAAGTAGAGAATTAACTGGAAAATATTTTTTAATACTTTATTTATTTAATAGATAAAATACTAATCCTAAACTATAAAAGTCAATACTAAAAATTTCATTCTATGATGATTGTGTTGGAGGTTTTGTATGTTCATCAAGTTTATAAACACCATCAACTTTTGTTAGTTGACATATTTCACAGTTTCCAAATTGTTTAATACCATCAAAATCCTCGACGTTCCAACGATAATATCGCATTAGAAATAAACGCATAAATAAACCATGTGAAACTATAACTATATTTTGTGTTGGATCATGATGTCCATTGTCCATTTCACGAAATAAAGTATCGAGAAATAATGAAGCACGGTCATAAACATCAGCACCACTTTCACCACATGAAAAACGATAGAAAAAATGTCCTAAACGGTCTTGATCTTCTAATTCATGTGGACGTTTTTGTAAATCAGTAATATTACCAAATTCCTGTTCACGAATTCTTGGATCTTCTCTTTCAGTAAGAATTTGTGATGGTGAAAATGCTTTTTTAATATTTGCCCATGTTTGTTTTGAACGTCGATATGGACTCATATAAACATACATAGATTCTTCTTTTCCAATAATCGATCGAAGTTTTTCACCAGCTTCAAGAGCTTGTTGTTGACCTCGTTCTGTTAATTCAATCCGGCTATCAGCCATTCGTGCACTCAGTGCTATTACAAATAAGAGAAATTTGTAAAATTTAAAGTTAAAAAAATGATTATTTACTTGTATCGACATTAGCTTGAGATTCTCCATGTCGAATAAGAAAAATACGTTTTGGACGTTGACTCATACGAACCTGTTTATGTTGTTGATGAGCTAGACGCATTAAATAACGGATACCAGTGCCCATATATCCAGTAAAGAACAGAATAAGAGAAGTAAGACCAAGAATAATTAAACTTATTACTAATGTACACATTTTATCGATACACAGTTAAGTATTAAATATTATGATCTATTGTACAAAGTCTTATATATAATCAAAACAGTATTCCTTTCTACAACGTATGACGAGCCGTTTGCTTGATGTATTTTATAAAATGAAGAAAGAAAGAAAAGGACAAAACTGTATAGACATTCGTACTAAGAAACCTTCGGAGCACGTGCAAACAAGTTGCGTGAGACATCAAATATAACAAAAGAAAAGAAAATCATATTGCTATTAAATTAATTGATACATTCGTTTTTTTTCTTTTAATGTCAAGATATTTTTCAGTTTATAATTAAGATTATAGAAAAAAAACAACGACCGATATTTATATAATATCATATATATATCCAAAGTCCACATTTTATTTTTGTTTACGTATATTTACATTCTTCTATGCAGTAGTTCATGAGGCCGTTTGTTAACAATAACAGTATATAGATGATATCTTCAAGTATACCATGTTTTACGTATATATTCTCTTCTTCAACTTGAAAATATATATATCGAACATATTGTGATAATTATTGTTATAAGACATGACATATTATTTTCGTTACTTCAATGTGTAGCAAAATATTTTCATGTAAGAGAAGAGGATACTTCTAAACTTAAGTCTTTTTTTCTTAATACGTGAAGCAAATATCTATGTTTAATATTGAAGAGAAACATAATCTACCATTTGAAAATCGTATTGATGTGCGACAGTCAAACAAACAAATGTATTCTTTACATCGATTGACACGTATAAAAATAAATTCAAACAATCATCATTACAGAAACAAAACATTTAGAAAAATTTGTTTTTTTTTCGTATACGGTAGACATTGGAAAATAATTACACATAAGAACGGTTTTCTATTCATGAACAATATATTCATTGACTTGCATTATAAAATATGTGAATTGAAAATTTTTTAGACAAGGTGTATTTTACATGATAACGTAATATAAAATACGAAAATTTCGTCAACTGTCCTATCTGTCATAAGTGATTATTTATTTAAATATTTCGAAAATATATCTAATGTAATGATTATTACAATAACATTGACGTCAATCAAAATCAATATCATTGATATGATTCGATTGTTGGAAAAGGCATGACTTTAGGCGTTATTAATCTATATTTGTGAGTGAAAATATTCTATTTCTTTTCGAAGGTCACTCCTCAGTAAAAACTAAAATATATTAAATTCTTTTGATTATCTATATGTATATATTATTCTCATTGTAGAATAATCAACTAAATAATTTTGTAAAAAAGATACAGTATAGTTCTTTTTTTAATATCACATTTTGTTGTAATATCAATTTATTTCATGGGCAAATAAATATATGTCTGATTGCATTCATTAATAGTAGACGGGGTGATTGAAGTATGATATCGATCGGTAAGAAAAATATTCTGTACTACATTTAATCATTCTTTGCTTCAGTTGTATGAGTACGACGTCGATGAAGTCAATGACGAAATGACAAAAAAGAAAATTTCAAATCATCCAACATGATTCATATGATGATTAGACACTTTATATGTCTATTTAGGTAACTATAATGAGTTAGAACATGTTTCCAGTTGAATGATCGCAAAAACACATAGTATAAATTATTCTCTCTTTTTACATTCATTTACTTTTTGATAAAAAATATTTCTTATCATTTTACTTGTCGAACAATTCTTAATCAAATCATCATACTTTATTATTCTACAATAATGAACGTTGTCGAAACATTACCTTCATCAATATCAATATTATCATTAGCTAATGATAGTTATAGACAAAATGGAAATTCATTATCAGCATCATTCGATGAACATAGCAATGATACAATAACTGATATTAGAAATAATACTACATTAAATTCCAATATTAAGACTACTCGACGTTTTAATAAATATTCTATATCTTCGAAACGAGGACTTTTATATATGAAAAAATGTCGATTATCAAGTTCAATATTACGCAATGGACGTTGTTCAAAATTGAATAGTGATGCTACAGCACGAAAATTGAGAACAAAACATAATTATATAAGACAACAATTAGAAAAACAAGTACGTGAATTAGAATTTCAACAAAATAATTTATTATTACAAGTGGAAGATCTTTATTTCTATAAACATCAACTTGAAGCAAAATGTGAACAAAGCAGTTCAAAATATGAAATGGTTGTATGAATAATATTCTCATCAATAAACTATAATCATGAATAAACGTTCTAAAGTGTATCTAATGACTGTGAAGGCGAAAGAAAAAGATATGTCCTTCATCCTCACAGTAGCAATTATTTTAAATGTCATATTTTTTTTTGTTTGTTGATTTTTTTCTATAATAGATTAATACGATACTATGATTTTATCTATATCTACATTCTATTCGAATGCGTTTATATTGACGTGTTGTGTTAATCGAATATGATTCATTATATTCGATGTGTTTGTATATAATCAAAATATCATCTTTATGTGTTTTATCTTTACATTAAAATTTTCCAAAGAATTGGAATTATAAATGTTTAAAGTTTTAATATAAATTATTTCTATATGTTTCGTATCGATATATTATCGCAAATTAATACTCACCTGAAGAAGCATTTAAACGTAAACGTACAACGCAATAAGAATGATTATAGCTTAAAAAACAAGAGAAAAATCAATCTATATATTTTTAATTACTAAAAAATATTTCTGTCATCATATATAATTATTCTCATATTCTTTTGACAACAAAAATTAACAACACATAAGTTAACTGCACAATAATAAATATTAATCATATCGCTATTCTTTTATCAAATTCACTACGTAAACAATTCTAAAATACATGTCATTGAAAACTAAAGATTTAATAGAATTGTAAATATAAATTAGTCTTTCTCCAAGGCCATGTTTATATCCAAATAAATTTAAGTCAATTGTAAAACCCACGCTGAATTTATAGAGAAAAAAAACTGACAATTTTCTGGTATATTACTGTGTGTTTTTATTATAATATGTCACTTATGTAAAACAATCAAGAACATAATTATCACTTTATTTCATCATCGACGTCATCAACCTCGACAATAAAATAAAATGAGATCATATTTTTATGAGAAGAGAAAAAAAATCTTCTCATATACTTTATTAAAAAACGCGAAAAATATCATTTTTTCATTTGATAATTATAGGTTATCATATAGCTAAAAACAATATTCGAGAAAAGAGATAGCTGTTTTTCTTCGCTGAATTTAGATGTTAGCAATTAGTATAAGGCAGGTTCACTCTTGATATAGCTCATCTAACTGTTTTTTTCAATTCGGAGCAAAAGCTACGCTGACATGAACCATAAAATCTACTTTCTAGCTGAATAATAGTAATACAGCATTTCTTTCTTTAATATTCATATTTTCATTTAGATGTTAGGCGTCAATATCACCATTCTAAATAATATATCATCAATTAAAAACATTGAATTTCTTCTATTACTTCTTATTGAAATCTTCTCTATTATATGTACATTATATTTATTGATTTATTTTTTATTTCATTGGCGATTTATGGTGATTAAATCTTTACCTAATCAATCGATTGTTTTATTAATTATTGTATCATTTTTGTATATAATTTTTGATCTTCCTTTTACTATAAATTCGTATTATTTCGGATCTGATTATTCACAAATACTTTCATTTTGTTTATTTCGAAATTGGGTTCATTATACATTAATATGTAATAATCTATATCTAGTCGCTACTTCTAGTATTCAACGCTATTTTCTTCTTTTTAAAATTCATCTATTACGCAAACGTCAAACACGATGGATCTTACATTATATCCCATTAATTTCTTGTATTATTTATCCACCTATATTTTATTTGATTACAATTATTTTCTATTCATGTACATCAACAGATATTATCAATAGTCAATATTGTACAACTCCATGTTATTTTCAAAATTCAATTTTACTTATTATCGATTGTATTATACATTATATATTACCATTAATTATTACAATTTCAGCTAATATTGTATTAATTTGTTGGATGATACATTTAAGATGTGATTTAAATATTGAACAAATGTATCTTTGGAAAAGACAAAAAAAATTAATATCACAAATACTTATTTTTTCATTATTTTATATTATTGGATGGTTACCATCAACGATTGTTTTTGCATTAAATGCATTTTCGTTGAATAAACTTGATCAATATGGATCTGTTGTTGTTTGGCTTAATTATATGAGTTATTTTATATGTCCTTTACAACCATTTATTTGTCTTATTTTAGTACCAGAACCAATTTATTTCCTTCAAGATACATTAAGACAATTGTTACGGAAAGCTATGATGAGAACATCTGTAATAACCGTTGAAGCTTAATATTCTAAATATTTAATGATTGTAAAATTGTTTTGTCTTTCGAATTTAAAATAAATAAAATTTTCACAAACCATATGTAGGACTTATATAAATAACAGTTATATAAAAGACAATAATATGATGATCGTAGATAATATTTCATCATCTCAAACAAAATGTCTTGTATTCCGTGTTCAATTCTAACACTCTCTTAGCATTGCTATAGAATTAAAACGAAAGCATGCTATTCTATTTCATTACTCTATATCAGTTTTGATCTTCCGTTAATATCGTCTTGGTTATAATAGTCCAAGAACAATTTCCTTTTGTCATTAACGATATTGACTAGAGTATACACTTGTAGTAACTATTTTCTTTCTTATAACTACTGCTAATGCTCAGTGACATGTGTTTATATTTTATCTACAATGTTTATATCAATTTCAAGTTCGATTCATATCTCATTGTTTATATGTATTATCTTCTATTTATTTATTTTCATGTCAATAGTATGCATTACTTTGTTATTTATTAAATTCTATTTTATTTAATATTGATTAGAATCCAGCTATAATTATTTCTTGTCTATTTTAGTAGGAAATGCACTATTACTAGGTCATTTTGTTTCATGATATACCAGAATTAATGAAATCCATCGAAATATTTCTCAGACGATTAGCATTTCGATCGATTGCAACATTAGGAATGACAGTTATGCGTCTTTTTTAATCGGAAATTATATTTTTCATTCTGATGAACAGATGATTATCAAACTACTTCCTATTATCTCTGATTTTTTTCTCCATTAGTAACATATGATGGTAATATAATCATTACGATACTAGACTATTCTAATTTGTGCTATAACTAGCGTGATTAATATTATTCTCGCTCTACGTTTTACTGTAAAATTTTGGTGTTACGTATAATTACTTTCGAACATTCTCGTTTTCTTTTCAAATATATTTTTTTAATAATCCTCTTAACATAATGAGTACCTTTTTTTGACAGCTATTTCTAATATTTAACAATGCATTCTTATACTTATCTTTGACTAGAAGAAATTTTGAGATGATGTAGACAGAGAGAGATAAAAGTAAAATTATATTAATCAACAATATTTTATTTTATTCAAAGAAAAGAATTTATAAACTGGCATTGTCTTAAATATTCATCTAATTCGTCAAAAAAATCTGATTTTATAACTTTTAATTGATGATAATTATTATGTTCTTTTTTTCTCTATCCAGAATTATTCTAACTTGTGTCATTATGTGTTCATTCATATAAAAATGACATTTATAATTGTTTAGAAATTTTTAATAGTCGTAATTCTATATTATTTCATTATGACTAGATATTTAATACTGCTTTTCCATTAGTGATAACAATTATAGGTGACCTTCATTTTTTTACTACGAGTGATTTGTTCAACTGGAAAAAAATATGTCGATACAATAGAGAAAATTAACATTAGAAGTATTTGTTTTGTTCATAAAATAACGAATGAATATTTTAGTTTTTGTTTCTATCAAAAGAAATAAGACATTGGAAATTGTTTATTTCGTTATGCTATTCAAATCAGTTTTTCATACAAAAATCAGAAATATCTTTTGTTTAATTATAGAAGTGAGAATAATTAATATCACAAATCAATGTTTTGCAAATTCTTAGAATTAAATAATAATCATATAATAATGAATTATTTTTATCACACATTTTTAAGCAAAAAAATACACAGTTACAAATAGAAATAAAAATGAATGATACAATAATCCACGAATTAGTAGTATATGTATATATATATATATCAATATAAAAAGAAAAGATATAAGAGAGAGAGAGAAACAAATATTATCACCGGTATTGATATGAAGATAGGAAGAAGAAGAAAAAAAAAGATGATATTTTCAATTTATTGTAGGTAATTCAATACGAAGATAATTATCTTTAAGAAATACAACATGTAAACGTGTATAATCATACATATGATCTCTTGGTAAACGACAAATACGTGATGTTGAACGTATAATAACTTTACTTTGTTGTTGATGTGGTAATAAACTTCTCTCTTGTTGTTCAATAAAAATTTTTAATACATGTAATTGTGGATCAGATTGTATACGAATAGAATCTGTTGATGCTTCAAATGGTAAACGAATGTGATATATAAGAAAAGGTGGATTATCGTTCGTAAATGTATACTGTCCATCCCAAATCGCCGGTGCAGATGTTGTATTGAAAGTATTAAAACGATTGATTATATCACCTACACTTCTTGTATCTGTATATTGTTGTTGTTGTGATATTGATGGTTCACCAACATATATGACAGTTCTATTGTTATCTAATTTTTCAATTCTGTTTGTAGGATTAATATGATTATTATTATTAATAATATTATTGTTATTATTATTAGTATTATTATTATTATCATTGTTGTTATCATTATTATTATTGTTATTATTATTATCATTAAAATTATTATTATTATTATTATTATTGTTATAGTTAATATAATTGTTGTTGTTGTTGAACACAATTCGTTGTTTATTAGATACGAGTGACGGTTGTATCTTGTCTTGTTCCATACCTATTTATAAATAAAATTATATTAATATAAAATAGAAAATATTTTGAATGAAAGTAAACAATAGATATCATGCGGGAATATTCAAACAAGATGCATGAACACACACGAACCGTGTTAGATAAGAAAATATCTTTTTTTTCTTTTCCTTTCAGGGTGATATGGCCCTACTCAACCAATTCACAACTGCTTTGAGTTGATTTAGAAGCACTGAAAAAAGAAAACATTCTCAAAGAGTTAATAAACACACATATACACACACACAAAAAGTAGAGATAGTTGTTTAGTTAGTCTTATTAACTACCTGTTTGTTTGTCCATCATGCCCATGATTTCGACATACAATGTATTAGAAAATTAATTAGTTATATATGTAAAAAAAACATCAATTTAAGGGCAATATATGCTTCTAGGACGCTCATATTATCATTGATAAAGTAATCGTTTTTTTAATTAACTGACAAAAGCAGACATAAAAATTATAGTAATGAGGATAGCTAATCAATCGAAAAAATCTTAGAATATATTTTTATTTGTTAACATACTTCCATCAGTTCTTGTTGATATTAAATTTGAATCTGTTGAAGATTTTGAAAGTGGTGCTGGTGGTGGAAGAAGAATAGGAGATGTTATTATTAAATTTGTATCTTGTTGTTGTTGATCCAATTTTCTTTTTCTTTTAATTTCTTTCCATGCCCATGCATGATATTTTCCTTCAACAATTAATTGTCCATCTTCAGTTAAATAAGCAACAATTGTTTCATCATCAACAACATCAGGTACTAATAATTCAGTTTTAAATTCATGTTTACGATAATTTCCACGTTTATCTGTTGGTTCAATTGTATGACAATGTATTAAAATTTTTGGTCCTTCTAATTGTACACTTATATCTGATGTATCATATGTTTTACCAATAGGTATACGCATTTCATATAAATTTACATCGTTATCATCTGATAATGACTCATTATTTGATGATGTACGGATTAAATTCGTTGTTTCTTTTTGTAATTCATTAATAACATTCGTTGTTAATGATGAAGATGGTGTAAATGGTACGGATTGATTGGTATAATTAAACTGAAAAAATAAATAAAAATTTTGTTGTGTATGCATAAGGAAAAAAACCTGTTCAGTTGGAAGAGGACGCATTGGTGAACGTTGTTCATCTAAAGATTCACATGATGAACTGATTGATGGCTCACGTCGTCGTTGTACAACTGGTCGAACAACAATTCGACGTGACGATTCACGTTTAATTGGATGTTGTCGACGTAATTTACAAGAATTTCGCATATCATATTGATCAGCTGGTGATGGAGGAATATTATGTAGAGCGTTATTTCCCAAAGATGGCGTATTACCGGTAGCCATGCTAGGATGCTGTCAAAAAAGAAAGAACAACGTGCAAAAATTTTTTTCTTTTTTTTTTCCTTTTCTATCCTTGCATATATGTATGTGCGCTTTGAAACGTCAACTTCCGTTGAGTGGTAATCAACGCTTGAGAAAAAAAAAAAAGAGGGAAAGAATAGTCATTTTTTTTCTCGCACATTTTTATTTATATAATATAAATATATGATTCGACCATTTTCTATTTATTCACATGACTTACCTGTAAATAGGTTCGATGTCTGGTATGATAACGTTGATGTAAACTATCATTTGTTGTACTAGTACTGGTTGATCGTTGATGATGTGGAGACTTTAGAAGTGCTGATGTAGGCGTTGTAAGTGTAGGTTGATTATATCTGAGTTGATCAATAGAATGTGATCGTGGATAGTTTATAGCAGATGATGATGGATGTTGTGGTCGATAACTATATGCATGACCATGTATTTCAAGCGATGGAAGTCCAGTAAGTGGTGTTTGTTTTGATGAAATAAAATCAAGTGAACGACTAGCTAAACGATTAAGATTAGATGGTGTTAAATGTGGTTGATTTTGTAATTGTGATAAATGTTGTTGTTGTTGTTCAATTCGACGATATTGACGATCTAATGCATAGAGTTCTTCAACTGACAAACCCAATGGTCGTTGAGTAGATGATTGAGAAGAGGTGACCAACATGTTATTCTGTCTAAAGTAAATTTTACTCTTCGTCTATTCGAATAATATTAAGAATGAAACGAAACGAAAGAAAAGAAGAGAACAAGACTCATTTTCTCTGTCCTTCCTTCATTAAACAACACGAACGAAACTCAACCAACGAAAAAGATAGAAAGAGAGAAAAACAGAACAATAGTTGAGGTCGAGACGAGGAAAAAAAGAAGAAAAAAAAGCAGAGAATCGTCACTTCTCCGAGTTAAAGAACAAGCGCAACTGTATATACTATTTTTCTCTTCTGTTTCTGTTCTCTATATATCTTCTAATTATTCCTTAAAAGACAAAAAAAGACACTCGCGAATTTTGTGCAATATGACGATAGGATAATTTTGTATGGATTACATGTGGAGAACAGTTGAGGATATATGTGTGTGTGTGTATATACAATGATGAATTTTTTCATGGATATACGTACTAACACTCTTTATATAAACATAAATATATGGTAGCAATATGATATTGAGAAGACGTTGCTACTATGAATGCTCCATCTAGCAATCAAACGACAAAAGAAAAAAAAGACAGCTATATTAACATCAGTGATTAACTAGATACACACAAACATTTACTTTTAGAAAGAAAA